CCCACGAGGGCCCACTTCTGGACTGGCATGTGGTAGTTGAACATGAAAAGCTCGGGCCCGGAGGCATCGCCCACGACCCCCCCCCCGCGCCGCTGTTGATCGCCACCTCCGCGTCTGCGCCCGGCGCGATCGCGGTGGGCGACTGTCGCCTGAGCCTGGAGATTGTCGTAACATACTCCACGTCCTCCTCCTCAAGCTCGTCGGCTGCGGTCCAGACGGGCGCGGACGCCCCCCTCAATCTGGCCCTTCCCCCCACAGCCGAAGGCATTCGTCGCGTCGCAGCTCTTGCGCAGCATCGGCTGTCCAGCGCCATGGCCCTTCCGCGCCGCAATCCTCGTCGCCATCATCAGGTGCTCACGGCGGCGGCCTCGAGCGGCGAACGCCCACTCGGGAGGGCGGAAAGCCCCGCCCCGCAAGAGGCCGCCACGAACAGCCGCGCGCCACAAGCTACACATACAATGTACCAGGCGGCGACCTCCAGGCCCAGGCTTGCTGTTCATCTTGTCGGGGGCGAAGCCGTGGGGCACGGGGGCCTGCCGGGGGGGTCGCCGCGCCCGTCGGGCGCGCGGCGCAGGTGGGGAAAGACGTCGGCGAGGCTCGCCGTACTGCTCTAAGTGGATCAGCTGGTTCCTTGCATACGGGTCGGGCGCCTGCGGGCCCTCTTCCATGATAACTGCGGGGCGAGATCCCAAGCCCGCTCTCTGCTTGACATAATCTGCAAGGGTGCGGATCCAAGACGGGGCTACCAATATCTTGGAAATCTCAGACGGGCGCGACCAGGACGGGGCGAACTTGCCAATCTTAGTTATCCGAAAGGCCTTCAGTCTCATGTTGAAATCCTTCTGCGCGCTAACTGGGGTCGACTGCGGTATATCGTAATCGTCGGGGTGGGCGCGCTCGTCCGCATCCCGAAAATCCCCCAAGTGTTCGTCGGAAAGGTCAAGGCACATCGGGGCGGGGACCTTGACGCCAGAAAGCCCGCCCCCCAACGCAGGTTTGACATGATGCTCGACCCGCCCGCCGCCTGTTGGATTGCATGATGCATAAGCCCGATAATGGCGATTATTTACTCCTACTCCTGTTCTCGCGACTGATCTTGCCAATCCTGGTGCCGCCTGCATGTCTCGAACGCGCCGGGCCTGCTTCAGCTCGGGTTCCACGAGCTGCTGCCCCCCCCGATTGCGCCGCCGTCGGAGTGAATACAAAACCCGTGAAAAGTGCGAATAGCACCACCCAGCGAGCGCATCTCGATCTGCTGTGCTTGCTCGAGGGGGGATGCCGTTGCCAGGACCTTCGGCGCCTTTCGTTTTTAGTGTATATGTATATATATATATGTATACCAAGTACTCCCACTTACGCTCCTCAAGCTGCTTCTCGTAGTCTGGCCTCATCTGTTGCTGTGAAAAACACCGCAGAGCCACCTGCCGTATAGTCGCCATTGCCAACGTTGCGCGCCCTTTCGCCGTCGGCATTCGAGGACATCCAAGGAGGGGGAAATTTCCAGCAGCGCGTTGTGAACGTCCTCCAGGAACTCCTCTCTGCCTGCCCCCGTCAGTATTGCGCCAGCAAGTCGCTGGCGACCCCATCGTTCGCGAAGGGGGCGAGCGTTGACTGGTGCGACCGACTGGCGCTTCATTGCAACAGGGATGCGATCCAAAATGGTACTCGCTGCTCGAATAGCTCCCCCCGCGCGCTTCCACGCGCGCGCCCATCCCACTAAGCCCTGCGCCGGAGAAGGAGGAGGAGGAGGAGGAGGAGGAGGAGGAGGAGGAGGAGGAGGAGGAGGAGGGAGGTCTATTTCCTGTCACCGTGGCTGGGTTCCCCGACTGGCAGCGACAGAGCCGGGCGCCCAGGCGGCCGACGCCTTAACGGGGCGCCCCCGACATTGAGGCTGTGAGTCTTCGCCCGCTGCCTCCACCCTGACATTTCGGCCGCCTTTAAGGCCGATGGCGCGCATGCCCGAGTGGCCCCGGCAGCCGGCGCAGCGAACTCATAGGAAAGAACGCCAGCAAGACTGCGATCTCCCAGCCAGGGTTCGGCGAACCCTTGCTGGGCTCCACCGGCCTGAACAGACGCCTGTAGGCGACGCGCCAGCCTAAGAACGCCGGCGCGGAGAGGGGGGGGGCAGGTCTCCAAACCTTGGAAACACCTGTTGAGGAGGCGCCACCGCACGGCAGCGGGATAAATCCTGGGAAACATGAGTCCTCGCGGCAATGGTGGTGCACGCGCGGAAGAACAGGGCCCTCATCCCTGCCGAAGTATAGCGGGGAGTCCTGGTAGCTGGCATCGCGCGCGTCTGCCAGATCAAGTCAAGCCGTCTGAAGCCATAGCTCACAGCGCGCGTCAACATCAACCCATCCAGCCTGTGCGCCACAAAACTCTTGATACTGCTGCCGCCCGGGCTGCGGGTCGCAACGACGACAACCCATGGGCGCGTCGATGGGAAACATGCGCGGCAACGGCACCGCCACGTACTGCGTGCCTATAGCGGGGACGCCTGGCAGTGTGAGCACCGCTGGGAATTTAGGCGTGGTAGCACTGCCAGTCGAGACGTGGAGCTGGGCCGCGCGCTTGATGTCACCGGCTACAGCGACAAGGTCAATGATTCGACCTGCGCTGGCCGATGAACCAGAGCACTCGGGACAAACATTGCCGCCCAAACTGCAGTCCAAAGCGCCGAAGCCCACTCGCTATCTGCTAGCACATCTGGAGCAGCCTGAAAGTTTCTCGCGATCACGAAAGGCAGGCCGGCATTCTTGACCACTGTGCCCACGCTGGCGAATATCTCCCAATCCTTTGCCGAGAGCCCCTCACTGTGGTGATGGCGCAGCGAAGCCCAAAGAACACTCACATCTGCGAGGCCCGCCGGGCGCAGCACACTAGCACACCCAGCACACAGCGATGGCGACATCGTTTCAGCTTTCGACACGCCAAAGCCTTACGGGACAAACTGAAGCACCCCGCCTGAAGTGCCACCTCTGCCCGTCGCAACTGCAAGCTCGAATCTGACTCTTCATTTAATATACCTCAATATTGCTTCCCAATTCGAGGTCTGGAAATCACGCACATGATGCTCCTGAGCGACTTCCGTGTGGCAGCCGTCGGCCACGCCATGCCGTGCTGATGAAGAGCTTCCAGCCCGACTATGTCGGTCACGCTGCTGATGCAAAGCTCCCAATGCTGACCTCTGCCCTGGCGAAGAACCTAATGTTGCTGAGGCACCCTCGCCTGACTTGAACTTCTTGGCTGCTGGTCCACGCGCCTGATCGAAGATGCCCTGAACCAGTTCGTGCTTGACCCCGTGCTTCTCGACCAGATCCTTCATGAAGCCTGAATATGACTCCTGCTGTGAAGCCAACCAGATGTTGAGTTCGGCATAGGCCTTATCGGCCCTTTCCTTGGCAGCTGCAGCGCCCACCTGAACCTGCGCCGCCTTGCGCTGCTCCTCGGAAGCGGCGGCTGCAGCTGCCCTGGCGTCGGCCGCAGCCCGCCCCCGCCGGAGTCGCTCGACTTCCGCAAGCTCGCGCACGCGCCGCTCGGCATTAGCGGCGTCAGGCACGGCAAGCGGCTGCTGCGGGTCCAGGACCTCAAGCGGCTTGAGGCACAGGCGCGTCAGCAGCTGGAAAAGCAGGGACAGCATCAGGAAGTGGTCGCACCGGCGCCCCTCCGTCCCTGCGAGATGGCCTGGAGCCTCGGGCTTTGCCCAAACGCGTCGGCAAGCGCGCCTGGAGCTACACGAGGGGGTCGGATGCTAGCGCGGGCTGCTGCGCCATCGCCGCGCACACGGCAGCAGCACGGGTGGCCGCCTCGTCGCCGGCAGCCCGCGCTTGATCCAACTCGGCTTCACCCTGTTCTGCTCTGGCGCATGCCTTCACTGCCTGCTCCTCTGCATGACTGCATTTTCGCTGTGCATTGGACAACTTCTCCTGCAGAGCGTCCTGCTCCGTCCTTGATGCTTTCGCACTGGCCCGAAGTTCGCCTCGGAGGACTGCCCGCAGCGCAGCAACTTTGGCAATGAGTTTCTGCTCCCAGTCTTCACTTAGCAATGCGAAATCATGTTGTTTATCGTTGGCATCGGTGTACTAATATATATATATATATATATATATATATATGCATACTACATACATACATACATACATACATACATACATACATACATACATACATACATACATACATACATTAATACATACATACATACATACATACATACATACATACACTCACACGCATGATTACATAATATATATATATAATATATATATATATGTGCATGTGCATATATATATATATATATATATATATATATATATAAATATATATATACTCTGAGCGAGTCTTCTGGAAGATAGCTGAGTTTCTTGGGCGCTGGCGCAACGTCCGCCCATGCACCCTTGGCCCACCCTTTGCTATCCACCACAGTCGGCTTGGCACCTGCTGAACGACCACACGTCTTGCAAGTGTCTCGCGACGTGAGTATCCACACCGCTTGTACGGGTGTCTGAACGGAGTTGGGCGCCTGACCCCGTGCAGTGAGGGCGTGACGAGAAGAGATGCCGCACAGCCAAGCTGTTCTGACTGCCGCGGATCAGCGGTGTCCATGTGCTTCGCAAAGAAACCTGGAAATCTTGAGCCAAAATTGCTACGGATCTCCTCCACCTCCTCCTCCTCTTCTTCCTCCTCCTCCTCCTTTTCCTCTGGGCCCTCCTCCATCCTCTTCCTCTTGGGGTGTGACGGCTTCCCAGCCTTTATTCCACTGCGTGCTCCGACACATGCCTGATCTGGGCAACTCGCCCGAGCATCTTTTCTGGATGGGCTGGTGGGGTTACGCGAATAGTACAGAATCATGGGCGTCGGGGTGGTTTGCCGTCCGCTGATTCTAAGAGGGCGGGGAAGCTTATATTTAAGAAGGCGGATGGCTTCTTTGAATCTCTCTGGCTTCCAAGAAGCCCTTTGGCCGCTCACGTCGCGCCACCCCCTTTGTGCATGCCGCCCGCCTGCCACTTCGGACGGACTGCTGGACCCTGGAGTGGAGCCTCATCCCGAGATGATCGCAGCGCACGTGTCCGCTGTCGATCTCCGGCGCCGAGTTCTGCCTCGCAAAGGGCGGGTGCCCGCGGTGGTTGTCGGCGTCCTTCCCCGCCTCCGAAGCGTGGCACAGCATGCTAAGGACCTCGCCTGGCGGCAGGCTGAACTTCTCCGCGAGAGTCTCCAGAGCGTTCTGAACGGCATCGCCGCTTCTGGGGCGAGCCAGCAGCGCATCGGAATTTTCACGACTGTTCACGTCTTCCGCGTGACTGCCTTCGATGGACGCGTCGATGGAGCTGGTCTCTGCGGTCGGACATCTCTCGTGGACAGGGTCGTGCATGGTCGCCTGCAGCATTCGGGGGCCGAAAGCGTTGAGGAGAATCATGCCCACGATCGACATGCTGACAATGTAGAGACGGGCAGCGATGAAAATGAATTCCTGTGCCAGAAGCCTCTGGGGAAACCTGTTGAAGAAGCGCTGTGTGACCGGCACGGCCCCGAGAGCGCCCTGGATGGTCGCCCTTGGCAAGGTGGACAGAAAGCAGAAGACCACGTCCGGCAGGAGCTCTTTCCATTTACGGCCGCGCGCCTTCATTGTCAACGTCATACCGAAGAAAACCCCTGCGAAACGAAACGACAGCCCCACGAGCATCACTGGCAGAACCCTGTACAGCTGCGTCATGATCGCCGGCGTGGTCCTGCTGCCCAACATGCTGAACAGGAACAGCTGGCCGAAGACCCAGACGCCGCCCAGTATGCCCTCCACTTCGTGCAGCAGCCTGGGCTCCGTGTACGAGGCGAAGCAGCTGCCCGTGACGATCACCAGCAGCTCGGGCTGGAACATGGAGCCCGGGCTGAAACCCATCGGGATCAGCTCTTTCCCGTGGTCGGACGCCCCGCCGAGGCCAAAGGCTGTGAGCGCGACGGAGAGCACCATCAGGAACGCCTCTACGGCGGAGCCCGAGAACACCTGCCGCCGGCTCCACAGGAGTGCCGTCCGGATGGGGATGAGCCACCCAGCCACGCCGCCGAGGAAGGCACCCACGGCGATCGTGGCAATCACTCGCAGCACGTTTCCGACCACGAGGAGTCCCAGGTGCACGTCTGGCTGGTGTGCTGGTGCCGACATCCCGACGAGGATGCCGAAGACCGTCAGGGCATAGGAGGCCTCCAGTGGAGCCCAGGTGAACATGAGCCTGGGCATGGGATGGCCCTTGAAGCGCACGCCGAACTCCTTCATCTTGGGAATCACCAGCCCGTCACCGATTGCGACCAAGACCGTGCCAAGTACCAAGCCCTCTATGGGGTGGAAGCCTAACACTAGCACGCCGTATGCAGTGATGCCCAGAATCTCGCAGGAGGCTGGAAGGAAGGCCATCACGAAGAGGTGCCACTGAAGCTCCGCGACCTTGATCTCTAGCCCAGCGGTGAACAGCACGAGGAAGAAGGCCAGCTCCTGCAGCTGGTCCCTCGCGAAAAAAATGTCGCTCTGGAAGAAATCCGCCACTGTGCCTGCACGGAGTCGGCGTATTAGAATGCCCGTCTGTTGCCTGGGAGGTTCTGTGGAGTTTTAAAGCTTCCACCCACCCCTCGACGCGCGCGCCCCTAAAAAACGCCCCTTCTGAAATTCCTTCCTGGCAGTCATTTCGGCCTCCGAACGGGCCGAGATGGCCTCCAAGACGGCTTCCAAGACAGCCAAGACGGCAACTAAACGGCTCAAGATGGCCCAAGACAGCTCAAGAGCCTCTCAAGAGAGCCTCAAGACGGCTCAAGCTAGCCCCACAGGGCCTGAAGACGGCCCCAAAGGCCCCCATGACGGCACGAGAAAGCTCCAAGAGGCCTTCCTGGAGAGCCTGAGGAGGCCAGAACCATTGATTGTCCTCGAA